TGGAGTTTCGTCACCAGTCTGTCACGTTGAAATATATAGAAACTGGTCTATTGAAGATAGCATTGAAATTAAAAACGGAAAGGTTAAGCAAAAAATTGTGCAGATGTAGCTCAGGTATGTTTACTTAGTCGAACCCAGCGTAAACACAGTTTTCATCTGAAACATTCACAGACGTGGTATATTCCTAACTGAATTTCGTGAATATTTTCAACTAATCAAGCATTGAAGACAACTTAAAACTGTTTTAAGTCTAATTATACACCTTTTAAACCTTGAAAAGGATTGTTCGAGGTCGTGCAATATGCGTGTCTGGGTAAAAGCAGGTATCTGTGTGAAAAATAAACCTTTTTTTAAGTGAATTTGAATCTGTAATGGTACATGGCCAAAACAGTTAAAATAAAGTTTTAAAACCTCGGAGTATTGAATGTAAACGCTATTAGTGATGAAAAGGAATTCGTTTGATAGCTGATAAAAGTTTTCAGTATTTCTTAGAGAACAAAATGAATCTCCCTTCTTTTGTTTACTAAAATTCGTGAAGAGCAAGAAAACTTTCGTTAGAAATACAAATACTGTAAACTTCCACGTATAAAGCTCACCCCCCTTACTTATCAGACCCCCCCCTAGCCTGGTTATAGGGCCATCTCCATGTAAACAACAACAAAAATCCGATCATAAGTTCCTCTCGGATATAAGCCCCCTTCCTCTAGCTTTTCTTGTCTCGGTTTGAGAGATAGAAACATTCGGAGAACAATAGGGTTCAGTTAGAACTGTTTTTGGCATCAACTCTTTATTTTACTAAAAATTTAATTCTGTTCCAAATGTATTAAAATGAATTCAATTCGTTCTGACGTTTTGAAGTTTAAGTTTTAACCAGTAAAAGGCAAAACGTATTTTGGTCAGTACTTCTGTTGCTCGTTTGGACGAGGCGCTTTTTATATTCCGGTTATAAGCTCAGTTCCCTTGGGCATAAGTCCTCAGTCCAAAAAAACCCTGAAGGGTAGAATTTTCGAAACCATTTTTATCCTTGAAAAATCCCAAAATACTAGCTGTATTTGTTTTGGCAAGCATGATGCAAAAAGGAAAGATAAACAAACATTCAAACAAAAAACATAATGCCTGGAAAGTGATATAGATGAGCAAGGTTATGAACCGTCTGAGCAATTTCACCAATGATCAACTCGATGGTTTTCTTTAAACATCGTGTGCACTTAAAATAAATCTTTAAGCTTTTCATGAAAAGGTCTTTCATGAACGTTGACCGTTTGTCTCAACTTGTAAAAGGAACGATATTTTCATTGACAATTAAACTTATTGGGTAAATTACCTTGAAGAAGTGATATTCTTTCCCAAGAAAGGTGGATATGTTCTTTGATAGTACTAAACAAAACCCATGCTTTTGTATTAGGAAGGAAATTTCTCAACTTTTCTACTAGAACTCAAGGACATTTTTCGATATTAATGATAAGAAAAAAGAGCAATTGTCAGTCACGAACGTTTCTAAAAGTATTCCATATTTTTTTAAAGTGGAAAATTGATGCAAAACAGAAATTATCACCAAAAAATTTTCGAACAACAAACTTTGTGAAGAACCAAACACTTGTACAAATTAAACGATCTATTTTTCTTATCAATGAAGAGTTTTTGAGTTGAATGAAAAAAGGTACAAATGTAACTGAAAGGTCTTGCTGAAAAATTCCATTCAAGTGAAAATTAAGGAGGGGGGTGAATTTTAACGGATTTGCGGACCCTGAAATTGCAACGGTTCGCGGTTTCGTCGATTTTTTAGGTTCGGATTTTGGATTTTGCTTGTGAGGAAGTTCGGATCGTGGATCTGATCGATCGTCAGAAATGCGTTGTTTTCTGAGTACTTTTTTCGTCACGAACGAGACTCTCTGCATGTCACGCATTAGGGAAATAGTAACGCACTGGGACGTCTGCTGTGTTCGCGCCCTTATCCATGACACTGTACCCCACCGATTTCGATTCGCTCGATGGGAAAGCCATTGCCTAGCTAACACACAACAGCTCAAGGTGCGTCTTCCACCTTTTTACGCGACAAGTAGCGAACGGATTCGGATTTAACAATATTTTTTAACGAATTGACGGATTTGGTTATCAAATCGTAGCGGATCGGTGGATTTGCATACCCCTATTCACCCCCCTCATTAAGTGCAACACAGAAATAACTGAAATTCTGTGTTTTTCTGTAGCAAACGACATTTTCCCCTATTTTTTTATTATATAAAATTTTGGAAAGATTCCGTAGACTTTTTATTAAGCGTTCCATGTGGGTTGATGTTTTTTCTAATTTACCCTCTTTCTATGAAGGTTCTGAAATATAAGCCACGATTTCCAAGGGGACGGCATGCAACTACAAATTAGGATGAAGCATAAATCATTCAGATTATTTCAGGAATTCTTTTAATCCCTAAAATTGTTATTGCGCACATGTATGTACGATATAATTAAGTTCACAAAGCAACCAGGTGGACGAACAGACATGGTTTGATGATACTCTGGTTTAAGGATTTAATAAATGTAACCAAGGAATGACAATTGATCGACCCAGCGTTTCGACACTCCTGAGATCACAACATTGAAAATCATTCAATTTCAAGTACCAACATATGATTACAGGTCACTTCATATTTTTTAAGTTTTACAGAAATCTTTTTACGGTTCACAGAACCACTGGTTTTTCTCAATATAAATTCTTGCCCAGTTTTTTTTTTAAACTACTAGTACTTTGACCATTTTGACAATTTTTGTTAGATATCATGCAAAGATCCCCTCGTTCTCCGGGTATTGTAATGGATTTGTTATTTACGTTCGGTAGTTGTTTGCCCCTGTCCTCTTCTGGCTTTTTTGCAAGAGTCTGCGCGCGATACGGCGGACATTTTACGCCGCTTTGGTTTATTTTAATTTCAAGATCTCCGAAGACAATTTTGTGTTCTCAAGCAAAAAAAATTCCTAGAAAGAATTCTCAAAATAACGCAATAACTCTTAAAATTAAATAAAGTTGTGCTTCAATAAAGATTAAAAGGAAAAAGAAATCTAACCAACGGGGCCTGAGCCCCTCCGGTTAGCTTTAACAATTAAATTCATCGACAGCTGGGGGGAAAACAGCCGCTGTAAAATTTAAATTGATAAATGTGCACTACCGCTAGACCACAGTGGCTTTTGGTAAGGAAACCCGGCAAAATTACACTAGAAGTAGGTTCGCTCCCATTGTTACTAGAACAATAGGTTCACCAAGAGCAGGTATCGCCCTCGTGGTAATTTTTTAATGTGCTTGATTTGAGTTTCTACCAAAGTACAATACATTTCGAACTGCTGTTTTACAATTGAATTTCCTTCAAGGAAAGCTTTTCCAGCCTCAAATCTGAGTTCTTGCCACTCAAGTTCAAAACTCAAACGAAGCAATTCTTCCTAGAGTTCAATCCAAAGGGTTACACAAGGGGGACCGAGAAAAGCGTGCAAACCAAAATTAACAAAAAACATTTATTTTGCGTTTGCAACAGAAATTTCAAGTGTTAATTCCTATGCAAGATTTGTAGTTTAAAGTCTGTATGCAATTGCTTTGGTGATCTTTCAAATATTGATTTTTTTTTCTCTCTCTTAGGTTTGAATCCTGACAAGGAGAAAGTTTGTTTAATCACAAATAAAAAATATTAATAAACTTTTGAGTCGAGATTGCGACTCAAATCGTATTGGTTTTTTTGTGTTTATTCTTCCTTCCTTTAACTAACCCTGCAGCTACATTTTAAATCCATTCTCTTTAATTAGAATGCTTGAAGTTTTATTGACTTTTTACTGCTAGTACTGTTGCTAGACTTTACAGATGCAAAAAAAAAAAACTTTCAGTTTAGTACTACTATTAAACTTTGACAAATTTTCAGAACGAACCTCTTTTAGTACTACTGCTAGTTAGACTTTGACAGACTTAAGCACGATTCTTTTTTTAGTACTACTAGTAAGACTTTGGCAGACTTAAGCACGATTCTCTTTTAGTACTACTACTGGTTGAACTTTGATAGACTTAAGCACGACTCTYTATTAGTACTACTACTAGTTAGACTTTGACAGACTTAACCACGATTCACTTTTAGTACTACTACTAGTTAGACTTTGACAGACTTAAGCACGATTCTCTTTTAGTACTACTACTAGTTAGACTGACAGATTTTCAGAACGACTCTCTTTTAGTACTACTACTAGTTAGACTTTGACAGACTTAAGCAGGATTCTCTTTTAGTACTACTACTAGTTCGACTGACAGATTTTCAGAACGACTCTCTTTTAGTACTACTACTAGTTAGACTTTGACAGACTTAAGCACGATTCTCTTTTACTACTAGTTAGACTTTGACAGATTTTCAGAACGACTTTCTATTAGTACTACTACTAGTTAGACTTTGACAGACTTAAGCACGATTCTCTTTTAGTACTACTATTACTCGTTACACTTTGACAGACTTAAGCACGATTCTCTTTTAGTACTACTACTAGTTAGACTTTGACGGACTTAAGCACAACTCCCTTTTAGTACTACTACTAGTTAGACTTTGACAGACTTAAGCACGACTCTCTTTTAGTACTACTACAGTTACACTTTGACAGATTTAAGCGCGACTCTCTTTTTGTACTATCATAATTACACTTTGACAGACTTAAACACGAGTTTCTTCTAGAACTACGACTGTTACACTTTGACAGATTTTTTTTTTTAATCTCTTATAATTGTAATAATAAAAAGTGTTTTTGATAGCACTACTGCTAGACTTTTATCGACTATTCAACAAATTGGTGAACAAATTACTATTTTTTTTACTTGCACTTCTTGACATATCTTTAGACGACGTTTTGCTTTCCTTTCGAGAATCACGGAAAACTTGTCACTCGTACTTTGACGTCGACCAAATGTTTACTTCTCTTTATCCAGTAGAGTAACACTTGAATCAAATTTCAACATCTACTTTCAGGACGTACGATACATTTCTTACTTGACAGTTCTTTTTTTGTGACTTAAATAGACAGACTTGGAAACTTTTTTCTCGTTTCTTTCTTTGGTGAAATTCAAGCAACCTGTATAAAGAAAGCAAGAATGCAAGGTAAACATAATAGGACTACAAGTCTCAGGGGATGATAACAGTTTGACTCAATCACAATTCACAACCTAAAGAGGTTTTGCACAGCAGCCATGTTGGATGGGAGGAGCAGTGAAAATATTTTGCATAAGAAAGAAAATTTTTTCCCATGGGTAAAATAATCTATTGTTCGTGCCATCCAACATGGCTGCCGTGCAAAACCTCTATTGTTTCTAGGAACAATGGGAGCCAACCTACTTCTAGTGCAATTTTGCCTTGATTTCTCACCAAAAGCCTCTGTGGTCTAGCGGTAGTGCACGTTTACCGACTCGAATTAAACGACGGCCGTATCCCCGCCGTCGTTTAATTTAAGTTGTTAAAGCAACTCCAGGGGCCCAAAGCCCCGTCGGTCAGCTTTCTTTTACTTTTTAATCTTTAAAAGGAGCAGAAAATAATTTAATTTTAAGAGCTCTGAGAACTTTTACTTGAATGTTTTTTTTTTTGTTTTTTTCAGTAAAATAATTCTCGAAGCTCTTAAAATTAAATAAATTTCTACTCCTTTCAAGATTAAAGCTCCTCGGAACTGCAGTTACAGCTTAAACTTACGCGACTATGAGAGGTTACGGTCATAAAACGGGCCAGGCAATAAAAATTACCACAAAAACACAAAGGCGAATAAAGGCAAAAGTAAAGATAATTAAGAAGAATATCTCTGGAAAAAAAATATGGAAAAATAGAAAAAAATTATCGTGAAACATCCGACATGCATAGAATTTAGTCTTTCAAAGGCGGTCCTAACTTTCTTGAAGACTTCATATTTGTTTCAAATTTCCACGATGGGAGAAACTTTTTTCAACTTTGTCTATTGTAATAAGGGTTTAATTTCATCCTTACGAATTTGGAGAATGTCAATAAAACAGCGTCCAATTTATTTCAAACTAATTTGTTTGAAATTGAACATTTTTAATTACTTTTCTATATGTTTGTTTTGTAAGTGTTAGCAAATATTCATAATTTTATTTTGGTGATAATTTTTTCACTTACAAAACTTTTACTTCTGTTCAGCAGAATGGTTGCGATTTTAAAAATTCGTTATTTTAACATTTCCGTCACCTTTAACAAATTAAAAATTAAGTTAATAAAGGTCACTATTTTCAATCTACACAGTTTGAAACAAAAATATTTTCTCTATTCAATACACGGATAGGCTTATAGACAGCTAGAACATCAAAGGAACACGTCGAAATCTCTCCCGCAAGACTTCCATATAGAGGGCTTTAAAACGATCTAGAACAACGCACAAAAACTAAAGGAAAACGAAATTGACTTTGCTCCTAGAAAACTAATAGATTTTTGCCATAAATTCATTTTTAGATTTTTCTTGTAGGGGTTCCTTTTGCTAAAAAATTTAATCGATGATGGGTATATAACGTTAAAATATCTGTCCTTAGGGAGTTCAATTCTGTCTTATAACAAAAACATCTTCATCGTTCTATTAAAAAGAGATCCTTCCAAAGAGACAATGAATATTTAAGCCAAGCCTTCAGAGACGCATACTACACTGCTTAAGGTAGAATATTTTCAATTCGGACGACAATTTTATTGTAGTTACAGCAAATAAGTCTTAATTAACCTCAAGACATCCAAACTCTCGTCGAAAACTAAGTAATATATTTTTTTTTAAGTGGTCTCAGTCATGAGGAAGCTGTCTTGGAGTGAAATTTTTATCCTCAAAAAAATAAATAACACCAAAATTGTTCGTTGCTGAAAATGGACGCTGTCTTGGAGTGAAATCTCCTTCTTATAAAAATAAATAATATCAAAATTGTTTAATGTTGAAAACAGAAGCGGTCTTAGACAGAAATCTCATCCTGCTAAAAATAAATAATATCAAAATTGTTTAATGTTGAAAACAGAAGCTGTCTTAGAACGAAATCTCATCCTTATAAAAATAAATAGTATCAAAATTGTTTGTTGCTGGAAACAGAAGCTGTCTTGGAGTGAAATCGCATCATCAAAAAATAAACGCTATCGAAATTGTTTAATACTGAAAACAAAGACTGTCTTGGAGTGAAATATCATCCCTAAAAAATAAATAATGTCAAAATTGTTGTTTTTGAAAACAGCAGCTGTCTTGGAGTGAAATCTCATCCTTAAAAAAAATAAAATAATGCCAAAATTGTTTCTTGCTGAAAACGGAAGCTGTCCTGGAGTGAAATCTCATCCTTAAAATAATATATAATATCAAAACAGTACTGTCCGTTGTTGAAAACAGAAGCTGTCCTGGAGTGAAATCTTATTCCTTAAAAAATAAATAATATCAAAATTGTTCGAGTTTACAAAGTTTTTCGTTTGTTTGAAAGTATAAGCAAACTATGGTTCTTTATTTTTTGCATCACATTAAAGGTCCTTTAAAATTTGCGATAAAGAACTGTTCGGTCAAAAAACGTTCTCTTTTTTTGTAAGAAATATTTAATTTTTCTATTTAATTGAGGGTCCAATTCAATTAAGAAGGGCTTAAAAGGACAGATCTTTATGCTGCTATCCAAGTTACAAGCATCAATATTAAAAGAATAAACCGATGGATAGCTACAAGGAAAAAACATTCGAACATTTGTGTTAGTCGATATAATAAGAATTCCTTCCAAAAATCCCAAAACGATATTTCTAGGAGATGGTTCCTAGTCTTGCTCGTCCAAACATTTACTCTCTTATAGTTTCTCTTTATTGTACTGCGGCATGTTCGCAGAAGTATTCCTACGTAAAGGTACATTTTTGTCTCTTTTATAAGAAAAATACAATCCTTCAGTGAATTAGGGTGCATATTTGTAATATTAGTGTTTTCGTAATGATACTATCATCTTGCTCCTCAAAAAAAAACTGATTTGGTCCTCCAAAAATTACTGGAGAACATTAGAGATACAAATTCTTCTTCCGAACATTCTTTGTTCTGAGGCATTTAGTCTGGCTAAAAGTTTTGTTTAATAATAAATACGTTTAACGAGAGAGGACGCATCGGAGGAAATTTTCATTCACAAGTAAATAACCAATGTTCAATTCATATTTTAAAAATAATAACATCTATGAATCTGATTGTTTCGGTTGTTTAATCGCTTGATAGTTCTCATTATCGTTAAGAACTATTGAAGAATATTCAATATTTCTCTGTTGAATATCATTTATTACATAAAAAGGCTTCCTTTGAACAAAGAACTCTATTAACGCGGCCAATTAAACAGTAAGCTTTGTGATAGTTTCGTACGTAAATTGTCTGAGTTAAACAATTTTCAGCCGTCTTTATTGTTTCCATTGTTGAAATTGTTTATGGATTTGGCCATTAACTTATGTGTTGAACGTATTTCTTTCATTGAGAAATAACCTTTCAATAGGATTTAAGCACTCAAATTGTATGCCAAGCCTTTCTTTGTCTACTGGAAAATTAATTGGTAATTTTTACGTAAATGTTTTTCTCCAATTTTTTCGACGCTGGCAAACACACCTTGACAGCTTTAATTCATCGAAACACGTTACTTTTGATTTTCCCCTTTTAATATTTATAAATATCGGGAATATTCTTCGAGTTTGATAAGATAAAAGAAAAGGAGAAAAAACATAGACATCGTCAGAATAATTTGAATAGTCCACATGATTCGAACAACTATTCGCTGAAGGCGAAGAGAATATTGCTGTATAATCTCTTTGACAATGTCGAGGGGATTATTCACCGAGCCTGAGACAAATAATTGTTTTAGGATAATTGCTCAGGTTCTTTCGAATTCTGTTGTAAATTCGTTTTATTGTTGAAACTATTCTGTAAAGAAGGAAAACTTTGTACATGTTCTGTTACAATTTTTTTTAATTGCTCGTACCGAGATAAGCAGCTAGTTTCTACCAGAATTAACAGCGAAAACTTCACATCTCTACTAACTATGTTTTGAAAAGTGCTAGGCCAAATTTAATGGCATCTTTTGATGTCTTAGGAGCTGAAATTGAAGTTCATCTCTTCTTCGGTAACATTGAAAAAACGCTAGGCAGTCATTTTGAAATTTAGCACCCCTGCTATAATCACCTTGAGCGGGGTGATCATAGCGTGATATGACACATTCTTCGACCAATCCCCAGAGTCCCAGAGTTTCCATAACCATCTGAGCAAATATACTAATGAGTATTTTGGCGGCCTCCCTAAATTATTATTGCGATGGATTCCTTTGAGTTAATCGCAGTGCATGATGCGTTGGATGTGCTAGCTTGTTTCGTTTGAAAATGACTTTTAACTGATTTTAACTGTTCAATTTATTGAAGCCAAGCTTTATATTCTTTACTGAAAAATTCGATAGCTAATTTTTAAATCGTAAAATGTTTATCTCAAAATGTATCATTTTCTTGCTATCTTTTATTATTTCCTTGCACATTTTTCCCACATAGAAAAACCTAACTTTGATTAATTTTGATTTTCGCCTTTACGTTTTTGCAACAATCTGGAATATTCCTGGAGTTCAACAAGAGCGAAAATAAGACAAGAAAAAAGGGTTGAGTCATCATTAAAATGAGTATTTTGGTGATGTTCTTATATTAGATTCCTTTTGAATTATTAGCCAAAAAAAAAAAAAAAATTCAAACAGCTTACAATTAACCGAATTCGTCTTCATCTTTCTGTTCCCATTCCATGAATCCAATCCTCTTTGAATCGCTGTTTTCATCTTCCTCTTTCAGTCGACTCTGCAAATCCAGTAAAACAAATTGACTAACTCTTGATACCTAACAGTGACCAGCATCTAATTTCTCCTTACAATATCAGCCCTGAATCAAACATTAAGGTCAGGAAAATAAAGGAAATGATCAAGAACAAAAGAAGCTCTTGATTATTAAACAAATTCACCTTGTCAGCACCTTAGGAAATGTATACAAACCGGTATGGAGAGCATGCATAGTGATGTGAGGGTGTAAAGAATTAATAATATAAAATATACACGGTTGATTTTTCTCTCGGTGAAATAAGCTATGAAGCATTCTTTTAACTAGTACATTGGTGCTATTAGAGTCTCAGAAACCTAATTTACTTTATCTGATATCAATTTAAAGGATTATTCATCAAGTAATATGACAGTATTAGGCGGCTTCCTTTGAGGGTTAATCGGGATGTCGACGTGCTATCAATGGCACCATTTATTGAGTACTTTAAAATACTCTTAAAGATGACGTTGTCGTTGTCATGAATTACTATTGACAAAACAATTTAGTGAACAACTAACCTTCGGCTGAGTTCTGCTCCATCTCTCTCTTCATTTCCCTTTTCAAGTTCACCATCCTCATCTTTAACCCAACTTTCTCCCGACGCTACAAATCCAATAGTAGGTTTTCATGATTGTTAACATATCGCAGCCGGCCATTAAAGGACTTGACACATCGAGATTACCTTCTAAGAAAGGACTGATAGGTGAAGCAACAACAGACCAGAACGTAAAGACAGGTTTTCTACAATGACATGGGATATTGACTAAATAATTTCGAAGATCGAATCAAAATAATATCAACTATAATTGGGTATTTTGGCAACTTTCTATAAATTTCCTTTTCCGAGGATTGCTCTAAACTACTAGCAAGACAGTTAAATTTCTTAGTTCACTAACATCACTCAGATTCTGTTTTATACCTTTATTGTACCCTTGCAATAATTCTTGTCCATGGCAGTTTCTATTTCTTCCATTCCCTGGACTCTGCAAGTGAAATAAATATCTTCATCGAATAAGCTCTCTAATATGTTATTAACTATTTGGTCTCGTTAGAGTCTCAAAAGCCGTGACCGACTTTTAGTGATGTAATAAGGTTTTGGGTTTTATAATTTGTCGATAAAGGCCGGTAATCTTTAAAGTTCGATCTACATTGTCGCCAAATTACCCCGACGGGGTTGTCACGCACTTGACTCTATGCATACCTCCTCTCGGGTAGTCGAAACGTAAGCAAAATCAAAGATGTGGCGTTTCTAACAAAACGCAAACATTCCTTTCAAGCCAAGCCAAGTTAGTAAGTCGTCACAAACTGAAAAACAAACCTTATTGGATGCTACTTTCTTCTTTTTCCTCAATCCCTTTTATCTCTTGCGTGGTTTCCAGATTTTTGTTTTCATCCTATGCTAAACGCGTTACTTTAGAAAAAAAGAGGAAACAGATTATGATAAGATCAGGGCATACATACCTTAAAACGTATCTTTTTTTTTGGTTTCGAAAAGAAAAACGTAACAGATAATTCTTTATCAAATAAACCCCAAACAATAATAGTTTAGGGCATACCATTAGAAGAAGTATGCTTTAAACTTACACCTTTTCGAGATCTGTGTTCTGTAAGAAAATATCAAAATTAAAGGCATACTCGATAAGCTAAACTATCGGTACAACGGGTAGGTTGGATGGATTTTTATGTGCGATACCCATGACGTATTGCTTTGACATCAACAGAAACAAAATGATTTATTCATCAAATCAATAGCGCTGTAGGCTAAGAGATTAGATTAATTTTTTCTGCTTTGGTTTTCAATTATAGCCCGTTAAATCCACTTTTAACCTTTTAACTCCTGACAATAATGATACTATTAAGAAATTCATCTTTTTTCCGATCCGAAAGAAGGTTACAACAGCGACCAAAAAACGAACGACGAAACTGCGAGGTTTATAGTTAGATGATGCAATAGAAGAGCACGTGTAATTTCCAGAGTGTCACATGATCTTATCCAACGAATCACATTACATGATTATTATTTCTCCAACAGATACAATATCGAGCAGAAACGTATTGAGAATAAAAAACACCAACAAATGGATTATTAGTTGATCCAATAACAAATTCTCCATAGTGATATCATAAGAATTGAGTGGAAGACAGTAAGGTGAACTACTGATGAGATCTTGAGAGCGAAAAGGCATTCAAAGCACGAGAGACGCACGAGAGCAGTTACTTAGTTTCCTATTAAACATTTAATTACTGACCATGTGAAACGTCAGTCGTCCAGTTTCTGTTTCCTTCCTGGAATCTCTTATTTATAAGACTGTTCCCATTCTATGCTCGACGTTGGGCTGAATAGAAAGCCAGTATAGAAGATCACCATAGTTTGAATCGATTTCGAATATTAGTATACCAAGGCGCGTAACGTGGTCATTTTTTCAAGTACGCACAAGTACATATGATCTAGAAACCTAAGTAAACTGAGCGAAAAATACTGCGTTCTTTATTTCTTGTTTGAAATAGTTGTGTGAATACAAGCAAAGAACAAAGCGTTTTTCCCTTATTTTGAGCAAACTTGGCGCAAACACAACATTGTTTTCAAATTTTTCTGGTCACTTCAAGTACGCACGTGCGTATATCCGTAGAGGACGTTACGCGCCTGATACCGTTCTTCAGGCAAGTACAGGTACCTCAGTCTATTGTGACTGATAAAGATAAATGTCCAGATAAAAAGAACTCAAGCGAGAGGTCACAAAAGTTACCATTCGTATACGGTGAAGTAACGTTACATTCGAAATCTTCCGAAAAGCGATTGGAGATAAAACCAAATCCATGAATACGAAACTAACTTTGACTCCTACAGTTACTCAGAGGCGGATCCAGGAATTTTTGATTGGGGGGGTCCAAACTTTGGTTCAGAAAGGACTGTTGGACTCTTTTGAGACAATTAAATCTCCCCACACCCCCCACACCCCCTCCCACCAGTCGCGGTTGCACGTTATAATTTCTTGGCCGCTTACTGTTTACTTGGATTCATTAATTAAAATATCAGCCAGTTAAAAAGTGATATACGATCCTGCGGATGTAAGAATTTCAGTCTCAAAGTTGTAAGCGTCAGGTCTGATAGGGGGTCCGAACCCCCAGACCCTCCCCCTGGATCCGCTACTGTTACTGGAGCACACTCCAGTATCTGTGTTATGAAGATACAAGGAACCTCCCTTTTTCTCGTGCAGGGGCTCCATTAAGCATTTTGAAAGATTTCTCTGACAGTCCATTGGTATCAATTAGTTAAACAACTTGTATTCCTAAGTGGAGAAAGGCATTGCGGTGTTAATTTTTCTCGCCCAAATACATATAACGCAATGACTCAGCCGGGGGTTTGATCCGATTTGTTCGATCCCACTTCAAACACGCACGAGATATCCGGTGTTATACAAAACTTAAGATAAAAGAGAAATTCGGGAAAGAGTACCATATAACCCCATACATTAATTATGCATTCCACTTCTTTGTCTTTCACGACAAAACTGTAAAAACAAAGTCTACTAGTCTGAATGCATAATTAATGTATGGGGTTATATGGTACTCTTGCCAAAATTCGTGCCATTCGCAGCATCACTTTTTCAAAGATGTAGACTAAAGTCCTCTGATTTGCTTGAAAGATTTTTCGGCAAAATATTTTTAGGATCACCCTTCTGGCTCTGCGGCGGTGGTTGGTTTCAGGGAAGCAACTAGGCACATTTACAGCAAATCTTATTTTGTGATACTGTGAGCTCTAGCCGGTGACTGTATGTAGAATGTAAACGAGTGTAGAAATGAAAAGCGACAAATAACTACCCAAGCTATCACTCAATAACCTTAACTAAAAGTAAAAAATTTCCTCACTTTTTCTCAAAACGGCACGTGCTGCTTGCAACTGTCAAGGCGGCTGCAGTTGGGGAGCAGTCTTACTCTGTGCCGTGTATGGTGTGCTTCTTCTCTTTGTATTCTACTCTACAATTTGAACTTCAACTTGTGAGGGCAACGGCAAAACACTGAATTTACATGGGTTATGTACCTCAAGAAAATTCGAGATAGAACGACATCCATCAATCCTTGAAGTCGAATTTGAGCCACTCTATTTCGCAACTTCGCCTCACGAGGAAACACACTCTGGACTCAGTGCCAGAACGGACCAAGGTTACAACATGGAAGTGATGTATTTTGTGTCCCCAGAAAAGCTGCAAAAGACGTTGAAATTTCTTGACCTTCTTTCGCTCTTTCCACGTGCAGGACTGAATGATCGCAAATGTGGATATTAACTTTTGGAAACTCTTTGTAATTCAAATGAGTTTACGGACACTGAAAGACGTACCGAAAAGTATCGAATAGCACTTCGGTCACTGTCGTTTAATTATAAGATACAACAACGTAGGATGGCCAGATTATGGCTAATTTTGAACTTGGTAAGTTTTGAAGAGTGTCAATATCATCGTGAAAATACTACGTAAAATTTAGAATTCAGTTGTCCTGATACCTCTCTTAAACTAGCCTGCGAACAGGCTCCCGGCTTGGAGGAGCACAACGGCGCGAAGCAGGTCTGATTGAACGTGGAGCCTGTTCGCAGGCTACTCTTAAACTAGCGGAAACGGCCCTTTTCTTTCTCATAGTTATTGCTATAAATATGTTTATTCATTGCAGAGTGAAAGAAGAAGGGCTAGCACTCGCAACATTAGCTTAGGTACTCTCTACGGCGGCCAATTTACTTTATCAGCTTAGTCAATAAAACCAAATTTTCTTGTCTTGCCTCCCACCGACGTACCAACAGTTTCTTTAGGGACTTACCTCCTTTATTCATGTTTGGAAAATTCGAGTTATCGTCTATTACCCGTGATGATGAATTAAGAATGAGGGAAAAGAAAATCGTTCAACTTATAGCAAGAGAGAACGGCGGAAGTAAAAAGTCAAGTCCGGTGTCGTTTGATTTGCCATATTGTATCCTAACAACGAAGAAGCAACCGCCAAGAAGACTACCTAGGGGCTTGGGTGAAGGGGAAAATCGTAGGGGGTCTATAGTCTCTAGCCTTGCGAGATCCTGGGAAAAGGAGAGGAATTGCTGACATTTTGTTACGCAATTGAGCCCCAGAACAGTCATGGCTGTTTGGTATTTCGAGAGGGTAAGTTCGTATGTGATGAAAAATTTGGTTATATCAACCAAGTCGAAATTGTAAATTGGCCACTGTAACGAGTTGAAAAGCTGACGTTTCGAGCGCTAGCTTTTTAAACTCGTTACAGTGGCCAATTTACAATTTTAACTTGGTTGATATAACCAAATTACCTTGTTACCCCCACCGACGCAGCACCAATTTCTTTAGAAACTTTCACCCTTGATTCATTTGTCTGATAAGAAATTTGGCAAGGGGAAGGCAAGTGGGTAGATGTTTTTGTGGCTTTACACGTGAAGAAGAGTAAATTCTGCGTCATTTCCTTGACTTCCTTAGTGAAATCGTTTTGGTGTTTCACAACTGTAACAAACCTGAAAAGTCTTTTTGACGATGGACACTTTCCGAGGGCTATCTATTGTTAGGGTCAGATTACTATTACGCGGTGAAATAATATGTAGGGAGTGGAAGGAACCGAAATTAAATCAAAGATAAAAAGAAATGAGGGATATGCAAATCGTACACTTGAAGCCAGCAGAGTGATTTAAACTGAAAATGGAAGTACGACAAGATCCGCCAATAAGTATACAAACAACAAAAAAGCAACCGCTGGACGGAGTAAACTTAAGCGAGAAAGCTTGGTATTAATGAAATAATGAGTAAATAGAAGTTTTAATAATATCGGATAGCTTTCATCAAAATTGCACAAACGTGCTGACATTGCCAACCAACCTCTTCCCACAGGGCAAGCCCCCAACCCCATTCCGAGCCGGGTGGACAGCTTCTCGATCGAGACCCTCGACCCATACTATTTTCGAAAACTACAATCAACTCGGTCAATTACAAAAGATCGCTCCTCTTTATCATAATGTTCCCTACAGTTTCGATAAAAATACCATGAATTCAGGGACGAAATCTACCAATTGATTGGTCCTGATTACAACACAATTTTTTTTGCCTAACTGGACCTGTCTATCCAACCAATTGTGACCAAAACCAGACACCCCAGGAAAACGAACTTTCTCTTAGTTATCAGCCGGCAGAAAAATTAATCACTTCATTCAAACATTAATTTATTAATTTTCTTTTCTCCAGGCACAAAATATGGATTCTTCTGTTTTTGTTCCACAATATTTTTAGTCTTGTTCTGCCGTATTTACAGTCTTCTAGTCTTTAGCAGACCTGTCTGTTCGACTCTTGCGGGCAAGAAACCTTAATTAATTCAACTACCGAGGCGCCACTTAATACGACCGATCATCGGATCGCCACTGCCAACAGCAGCAAAGCATATGTGACGAGTGATAACAAGCCTTTTGGTAGGCGTTTTTCGCATACCATTTTAAATTCCAAGGTCTCCCAACCTTGCATAAATATCTCGTTGAAGTACTCGCGAGGTTTCCACGACCTCTAGGATTCTGTCAACATTATTTCTCTTGCGAAATTCGGCACATGCGAAGTTGCCGTCCTTCTCCATTGGCGTTGGAGAAGTTGCCCTGAAGCGTTTCTTTTCAAAATTAAGTGGACCTGATTGGTAGATCTACATTCCATTTTTTTAGTGCATCAGCTATCCTCTGTAGGCTCTTCAGAGGCGCTTCTAAGCCAACGGAAGAACTCAATGCTGGCGCCTATGGCCACACCTTTGCCTAGTTTTTCTTCGGGACTACTTTCCCAGGCGTGGAATGAATCTTCTGTGATGACGTCCTCGTCGTATAAAGTATCAAAATAAGACTTGATGAAACCTGAAAACCAAAAGAGCAAGTTCATCTTAGATTTCTACTGATGTCTAGCAATAATCTTACGGCAGTTGCTCGCCTGTTTCAATGAATTAACTGCGTAATTGTATTCTTTTATGAAATAATTCCTTTAAAGTAACACTTCAAGGCTGTAGCCTTTCAATTGAAAGTGTTTAAGTCCAGAGGACCTACGTTTGTCACCTTTGGGAAAGAGATCAAGGAGTCTAGAAAACTTATATCAGTACCTAAAAAATGCCACGAAAGCTTCACAACAATATAGAGAATACCTGTGATCGACAAGCAACTTATCCAGCGACATTCACTTGACGTTAGTGGAACTACGATAGACTGCATTAGCTCATTTCACTCTAACCCCACCCCCTGCCCCAAACCCTGATTTGTGGACAGCAAACTGTTACCTGGTGGGTGATCCAGCTGTACAAAGAGTGCCTGCACTGCATAGAGCGCCTGGAGTTCAAGTTGCCCATTAACGTCGATGTACTTTTGAAGAAGACTTTTTCTGTCCTTCATAAGGTTGAGGTTGCATTTACACAGTCCTCCGTCTTCTGATAAGGGGGCGAAAAAAAATTAAAGATACTTGAATTGGTTACACAGACGACAATAAAATATAGAATAACTTTATCCATTTTAATGCAAGATAAAGACAGTGCAGCACTAAGTTGGGATGGGCATGGTGAAAAAAAAAATAACTCAGAGAAAAAATATTTCTGTAACGCTTTGTACCACAATCTACGAGGAAATTTCAAGTACAACCTGTTTACTTATTCCACAGATAACAACGCTTAAAATATTTTCAATACAAAAATCACTTACAGCATATCAATACAATTTTAATAATCATTAAAAAAATCATAGACTTGGTATGTTTGTGTACAATTCAAATACTTCTTCTTTACCTCTCTCCATTGTATCCTCACAAACAACTGTTACAAGAGCTCTAATGAACGATGCTTCCTTTGTTTCTGTTTCAGGAACATATTTCTATCGTGAAAAAAAAAAAAAATAGATTCAGTACATTGTTCCTAGATCTGGAAATATGCCTGAACCCACACGCCACTGTTGAAAAGGGAAAAACCTTGTTTAGAAAAAAGTTGGACTAGCAAGATACACAACTAAAAAAAGACACAAACGATTATACAGTTTCAGTCCCTAATACTTACGTCAATCCACTCAAACACTTCTTCATTTCTGGCCTTCCTCTTTAATATAAGAGTCCTTAGTTCTTCCTGTATTTTTGCAGAATGTTGGGTGGTTGAGCCAACCTTCTGCGATGAACTGACTTGACTGAGAGCAAATTCAATATTCTGCAGAAGAAAATTGTGCAGAAATAAAAAGTGAAGATTGAGAGCAAATTCACTTTTGTACCATCCATAATATGACAAGACGATGTTTAAGTTCTTTGATTCATTCTTTCCTCAGGGAAAGGAAGGGCAGGGCATGTTCTTGCAATACACTTAAGCTTCCTGTTATCAACATACATGTTATCCAACCACCAAGAATAATAACACTCCAAGAAATCTAAAAATCTACTAGTTCTAAAACGGACAATAAAATGCTTCACACCTTATCCTTGGCAAATTCAACGGCTTCTTCGTCACTGTCGAAGAAGACATTCAACTTGACAGTAAATCTGCTCAAGATTGCAGACACATCTTCACGACTCTAGAACATGACAAAGGAAAGTAAATACCCTACACAGAGAATAATTGAGTTCCTGAGCAATATTTTTAACCCGTTGCACCCTAATAACAATATCCATATTCTCCAAACTCTCCTCTATACATTTCTTTGGAGCTGACAAGTCAACAAGGATTTGTTTCACAATCAAACCTTCTTAGGTTGGAAATCACTTCCTACATTCTCATGTTCTAAATGAATGACTCAGCGGTATTACTGTATGAAGACATTAGATGCTGGTCACTCCAAGTGAAATGGTCAGTTAGACGTACACATTACTGTGCATGCCTTGATGGGAAACGTGCAGTGACAAGAGACAAATCACTGAACATCTGCATTTTTAACAATACCCTTCAGTATGAAATCAATCGCACACCCATTTGTTACCTTACCGTGCACAAGCTCATGCAAGAGTGGCGAGAGGAGGGGTGGGGGAGATAAGAAATTTGAAACACTTACCAGTGCTTAAAAAACAATTCCCTAAAATGCCAAAAACAGCACTTACCGTGTCATTTGCTGCAATCTCCAACAAATGAGCAAAGAGTTTGGCACCTTTCCTTTTGGACACGTGTTTTAAGACACAATCCAAAAAAAGTTTATCAAGATTCAGATTTCCATCAAACGCAGTTGGTCCCATTATCTCGGCGAGATACTTCCACAGCAGTGGAATGTCAACTTCCAAATCTTCCGCACATTCCATGATTGGCTCAACCCTGACAACAGACCATACAAAGACAAAATATTACTTAAATATGTTGGTGAAAAAAAAGATCCTTCTCTTCATTCAACTCCCATATAACCAAAGTTAAGAAAATATAAAACTTTAGTTCCAGTTTGAGGCTTTTAATGCAAACTATAAACTACCTAGTGAAGATTCTCTGTTTTGTAATTCCGCAGACTAGAAGATCGAAAACAGTTGCTCAAAATATTGTACACCAGAAGTGGAACATAAACAATAATCATTTAACACACTCCAAACATGAGGATGTAAAACAAGCAAAAGAGGGGCATACCCAGCGAGGTATTGTTCATTTGTGAGCACCCCATCTCGAAACAGGAAGTGGAAAAGTCTACCAATAGCCTTTCTACTTGCTTCACTTTTCTCCACTGTGTGGTTGAATGCAGATGTCACAAAGACATAATGTGTTGAAGGAGACTCGAGTTCTTTAACACACTCCACAGCTTCCTATCAAAGGGAAAGCACTCAATGTTTAAAACAGACTGTTGAACACTTTGAATTTGTAGTCCTGACAAACATACTGTGCATCAGTTTGTTTTTTTAGATGATTTGGCACTGTGTGAAACGGAGATTTAGAGAAAGGTACTACTAGCATTTAGACCAAGGATACAACTCAACAAGTGCATACAGAGACATTTCTTCTCCATTTTTCAAGACATCCGTGCAAGGCAACTGATTGTTTACTGAGCTTTTATAAATTTTTTTTCCTTCTTTCTTTTATCTTGAGGAAGGGAAAGGGGGTCCTAAAAAGATGGGTCCTAAAAAGATGGGTCCTAAAAAGATTGGTCTATCTGTGGTCATAAAGAGGTGGATATGTTGTAGTTCAATTTTATCCTTGGTTCAAACTTTATTTTCCTTTGTTTCAAACTCATTATCATACATTAACATGACCAAGAACAAAGGAAAATAAAATTTGAACCAAGGATAAAATTGAACTACAACAGATACACATGTATGTGCATACTGGTCAGAGAGAGGAAGGGTACCACAACATTATGTATCAAGAAAAATATCAATTGATAGATACAAGGGCGATGTTCATTAGCTGTGCTGGCTTCTTTTACAACCTGTCACAAGCCCTCGATAGCTCCTGTATATTGACTCTTACTTGCAAACAATAATCCACAGAGCCAACATTCTAGTAATGACATGATAAAGAATACAAAGCGAGAGCATGGTGAGAATTCAGGGCTACAGTCAGCATTTCAAAGGTTCAGAAGAACTATAAACTGCCACCAAGATTTATTAAGTGCTGACAACTAGGGAGGGTTACTTACCTTCATATCTTTGATAGCCAGATACTCTTCAATAATTGCATTTGCCTTCTTTTTCATCTCTTCAGGTGTGAGTTCTGGTGCAGGGGACACTGAAGCAGATGTGGGCTCTGGAGTTGAAGGTGCCTCTGGAGTTGAAGATGCCTCTGGTGTCAGCCTTGGAGACTCCCTTCCTCCTTCGCGTTCTTGGTTATTACGCTAGAAATTAAGCAGAGAAATCAATATATCTACCAGATGGCATTGCACTGGATGAACTGATGTACAGTACGTCTACACCTAGAAAAGTGTTCCACTGAAAATGTTAACATTCTCATAATAATAACTTATAGCAATAGGCAGTAAAACTAAAAGAGGAAAAAATTGCCACTGTAAGTGGCATGTACATTAGCAGCTTGGAACTTAATCTATCTAGTAATATAATTTTGTGTAATAGTTGAAATGAATTCTTACATCTGTAATTAATTTTATCTTCTTCAGTTCTTGCAAAAGAATTGTGCTCTGTCTAGCCCACTAACAATTTTGCATCTTGATTTTAAAATGAATTCCAGAACTAACTTGCAACTAATGGCTTACCTTGTATAGTTAAGTCTTAACTTGTTACAAAGTGGAAGTGGTTGTTCACTTTTGAACAAATAGTAGCTTATATATGATGCATACCTTTGGTTGTGTTACTGCTCGAACAGCCTCTAGAGCCTTTTCTCGCTCTCCTGCCCCAAAGGGTGCTCGCCTTCCACCTCCCATTGGACTCCTAGGTTCTTGACGGCCAGAGCCACCAGAATTTTGTCTTGCAGGTGCTGAGTACTTTCTCTCTCCTGCCAAGGCAGAATACCTTGGAGACAATTAAACAAAATATACCTCAAACTGATATCATCTTTCTCAGATTAAGGTTAGTACTTGCATGTGACAGGCACTTCAAAATGCAGCACTACACTTAAGAAAGGATAATAATGCCATCTGTTTTGGAAGAACTGTAACCTGCACCTAGGAATTGTTACCTCCTTGAGCACCTTTCATATTTCAAAAAAATCTTTTTATTACCATCCATTCTACACAAAAATCCCAAAAATCCCAAACACCAAAATTTATGCAGAGCAAGTACACATTTCACACAACTGACTTGAACACAATTTAAAAAAAAAAAAAGGAATTGGAAGAAACAGTGAGCCATTCCTTGGAAGAAATAAGAAAACTTATGATAATCAGAACCTGCTTTATGGTTGTAACAAGATTTCCACAAAGTTACAGCTATGTCACTGACCAACAACACAGCATATTAGCTATCATATACTATCCAAGCCTCTTACCTATTGCCTGCTGTGGTTCTACTGTCATCAGCTGAAGTAGCAGGAGGAGCAGCAGAGGCAGCTGTTGGACCAGCCCCAGCACCTACTGCCCCTGTTCCTCCACTGCTACCTCTAGCCCAAGAAGAAAATCCCCTACCACCAGGTCCTAGCGAGATGTTTTCAGAATCAACTGGGCGCTACAATAGTAAAGTAAAAGAACATTTTACCCTGCCATTACAACTCTACATAATCATAACACATTTCATGATACATCATTTTCTTACATAGCCTTAATGACATTTTTGTCTCAGTGGTTTTAACAAACTGTCTACAAATGGTTCCATATTGTTAATTTGAAAAGGATGAAATTACATTTCCATTCAGGAAGTAAACTGTGGGTTCAAGACTCAACTAAAATTTTCCAGCAAACAAATTCATTGTGACACTGCATAAGAAAGTCATCACCTCTCATTCAATCAGTTTTGGAAAACTTTTGATGAAAAAAACCATAGTAACATGGACAACTATAATAAAATCCCCTTCCATGATCTGCATTCAAAGTGATTACATTCTTCTTTCACAAAATTGTACAGTTAAATCAATAAACAAATGTGAACATTTTCAAGGGGCTTTAAAACAGTATTTTAAGGTGTTTTCAACAAATAAAAAAATAAAATTGCTTTCAAAAAGAATGATCAATTGAAATAAAAGCTTGCTGGCGAAGGATATTGCTAAAGAGTGAGGCACAATTTGAAGGGGAATAAAGATAGCTTGGAGTGAAAATGAACACAGATCGTGAAATGGTACCCTTGATAAAGTCTGGCTACATCTTAAAGATGTCCCCACCATGATGTAGCTCTTGTTACTGCACATGTTTATCTGAACAATGGGAAAAAAATAACTTTTAGAACAATGCAAATAAAATTAATAATAACCTTAATGTTCTGGAACCTTTTTGGATCCACGCTCACATTCTTTGGACCTCTGCCAACAGTGGTCCAAGTCTCATCAGCCTGTGGTACACCACCAGAGGGTCGGGGACTGTCTCGACCGCCCATGTTACCTGAATATTAACAACATCAGTCAAGACACTAGACTCCTTTGAAGTCTCAAGCTGTTTTATTATCATCGCATAGGCACTTTACAAGTCATACTGCATGTGGCAGTTAATTATAAATTGTTTTCTTATTTCATTGTAATTTCATTTCCCAGAGACTTTTGTTTCATACGACAAGGCATTACACCTTGTAAGACTTTCTGCCATTCCATTGGTCATCTTCTTAAACTCAGTGTCCTATTTTGGACCTTTTCACATCGCAAATTTAGCGCCACTTTTAGGCATTAGTCCTCACTAACTCACTCACCTAAACAACATAATTATGTTGCTTCACTTCCCATGGGAGGCAGTAGCCAAAAAGTCTAAAGCTTTGGAAAACAATTCCGGACTGCTTCCAAAAAGCCCTAAACATCTCAAAAACCTATTTAAGCCGAGTACCATGGTAAAAAAAAAAAAGCAGCTACCATATCTAGTCTGATCTAGTCTAGTTTATTTCTTGTTTCAAATCAATATACCTTATTTCCAAATAGGCTCAGTTGATAGTTCACATCATCTAGAGAAATTCAAGAAAACATTTGAGGTAGCCTAACCCACCTCTGAGCTTCTTGTCTTGTTTTGCCATTTGAATCATCAACTGTGTCTTTTTTGCTGCATCAGCAGCCTCCTTGTGGATCTGGTCAATAGTTTTGGGATTGTTGTCTTCCCTGCGAGGAACCCAGTTGTTTCCACGCAGATCAACAATGTCTTGCATCATGAATCTGACACGTGCCGATGTAATTCTTGCTTGGATTATTTTGAGGATTTGAGCAAAGTATTGATCCACTCTCGGCTGGAAACAAATGAATAACACATTAACTCAGTCTGTGAATTAACCAACCCAACAAGTATATCCTAATGAAAATTTAAAATTGTTTTGTCTAAAACCTGTTTAAAAACTGGCACCTGTTACTTCCACACAGTGCAACAGAGTGTGTTGCTATTTTTAGTGGTGAGCTTGTATTATTTTTCAAAATGGCAATTGTGCTTCTTTGGATATTTTTAATCTGCTTAGAACTTTCATTCCAAAGAACCAAAGTAAACAAGTCTAAATATGAAATCTTTATATGCTCAGTTCTCGCCAAATCTTCATAAAGTAATCGCAAGTCGCTTATCACAGCAATCGATAAGCATCTACAAAAAAAGCCGGCTTGCTGGGAACTTGCAAATAGAAAGAATCTTGGTTTGAAATAAAGATAAACGCACTACACTTTCCAAATCCATCAAAATACTAAAATGAATCAGATATTGATCATCTCAAGAAAAATCGTGGTGTTCAACACATATTTTTGCAATATTCATGCAGTTTATCATGTGTGAAGTGACTGGAACTATTGTTTCAATAATTATTTTAATTTGGGTTTGTGTGAAATCATGTGGTCATGGTTCGTACAACTTCAGACAAACAAAATTCAAGGACTTTTCGAGGACTTTTCAAGGACAAAAAATGGTTTTTAAGGACTAAGTTTTATTCATAAATCTAAACCATTTACAATTGAATACACATTTGCACATCGTTCAATTAAATTGAAAACAAAGGGAAATGAAAAATTCATCGACCAAAACATAGCCTAACCACTACATGTTTACGTTGCCCCTTAAAACAAAAGCACATGGCAGACTACCCCACATTGGAGGCCTTCGCATGAAATTGAGGCACAGATCCAACTTTGCTTCATGTACCAATCATGTTTTATACCGACCATTTTCGCTTTTTGGCAGTTACTAGTGGACAAATTTTCCATAACAAAATTGTTTAATTTATAAGAGAAGTGATAAGGCATACAGAAGTTGCTAAATTTCAAGGACTTTTCATAACCTACTAAAGAAGTCAAGTACTTTTCAAGGACAACCAAATTCAAGGACTTTTCAAGACGACCGTTAAAATTCAAGACCTTTTCAAGATTGTACAAACCCTGTGTGGTATGTAATGTGGCAGTTACTTTGAAATCTTCCAACGTGATCAACTCGACTGTGTCGCACAAAATAATATTTTTCCGCTAATAATGCTTATAAATCAACCAAATAAAAATGAAGCAATCAATCGCCAGATTTGCCATAGAGGTGAATGCTGCACAAGAGGCCGGGTGCCCGGCTGGGCAACCGGAATATTGTTTCAGTCGCCTGGGACAAAATGTTAGTTGCCTGAGGCGACCAGGCACCACCAGAGCATAGCCTTGAAAATACTTCCAAAAGCAGATCCAATGACAATGAAAATAACTTTATTTATACTTTAATTGAAACCATTGACACTTATGTGCAACACGTGCCCACAAAAAGTCAAAATTTTGGAGAAACCAAGAAGGTAAACACAACGCGCAGTAAATTTTTAAAAATCAGCTTTTCCAAAAAACAAGCTCCAGTGAAAGACTAATTAAAGAACTTATTTCTGGCGAAAAAAGCGATAGGTGCATATTACGTTTTAACTCAAAAATCAAGATGAAAGATAAAAATCACTAAATATTTTCGCATGTGTGAAAATGGGCATGTGGATCATATGTCAAAAGGGAATATGCAAATTTATCCGTGAGTCAAGAGATCTCAAGTTCCATGGAATCTATCAATAGGAAGCAAGACTAAAATGGCCAAGAAATATTTCGGGACGTCAGATTTATTCAAAACAGTTTTTGATTTACTGTAATAAGCGAAAAACGTACGAATTTCTTACGTGTAAAAAGCCCACGCGGTAAAATTCATCATGCTTGGATCGTTGTTTACTTGCCTTCGTGGCCAGAAATTGCGCAGCGTTATGGTGAAAATTCTGAAAAAACTTCGATTTGAGGCAAAATCTTCTATTAAACTATACTTTTTGAACACATTGTTACTCAAACATAATATTTACCGGGCCATCGAATCGTCAAATTGTCGCCAGGCCCTGCTTGAAGTCCGAAAGTTCGGTTTTCACTTTACGTCCATAATTCGNCCTTACCAAGTGCTTCAGATAATTGAAGTGCAGATTTAATTTTTGGATTTTTTTAGGTATATAAAAAGATATTTTGAAGTTAATAAGGTACTATCGTCCCTTCTGGTTCAGTGAGGGGTTATCGTTTGAGAAGTGAATTTATTTATTTATTTAATCACTTTCACCAGAGTGTGGTGAGGGTCGCACAACAGAGCGAGGCTCCAAATTAAGTGCGCCCTATATCCCACCCATCCCACCCCAGGGGAGGACATCCATCACACAGTAATCTCGTGTGTGGGAAATTAACGTCTCCTACCCCAACCCTGCAGGAGACGGGACCTCCATTTATTCGTCCCTATCCGAGAAGACTAGAATATCTAACCATTTCTTGATGTTATAGAAAGGTAGCAAATTCTTCTCAATTATTTTAAGACCCTGAGTGTTGGTCCGGCCGGGGCTCGAACCCTCGACCTCCCGCACAACAGTCCAGCGCTCTATCCATTGAGCTAACCGGGAGGCGGTTAAGATCCGTGATCCTCATCACAAGCAGAATCCATAGTTGTGTTATAATCATATTCCCATCACAAATAAGAAAATTTGTAAATTCTCAGAAATGATACTTGCATTAATCCAGTAATGGTACCCTTAGTTCCACATATTTTAAAGCAAAATCTGGTTTTAAAATGTTGGTACAAACCAGAAGTATTGAATTTGATACTTTTGCTACTGCACGTGACCTGTGTAGCCATGCCTTTTTCCTCTGGAGCTTACAATTCTTCCGGTCTTCACCCAAGGGGACCCAGAATTTGAAATGAGCTGTTTGTTACCTGATGCTGAATTTCTGATGTTGATTCTCACAAATCTCAATTGGCAGGACATCATGTTTATAAGTTGCAATCTATAACTTGCTTGTCTGTGTTGTTGCATTTGGTGAAAAAGATCACATGACATGCCCACCAGCACAATGAAATCGCAGTATCAATAGAGTTATCCATGTGAAAGATACGAGTCTGTATCTCACTTACTACTACATTAATTTGAAAAGGCAGTATCACCCCATCCTTACAGGACTTAAAATTGTACCTTTATCAGGCGCATTTGGAAATAAAGATTTCACTTTTGCAACTAAAATTTCTCTGTTGGTAGCGATCGATTTTACGACCATTTTACAGCCTTGCTTATAAATAAATTATATTTAACAGCCTTGTGTCTTACTTGTTTCTGGTTGCTGTAGTTTTATCTGAAAAAATCCTGCGAAGTTTCAGTTAAATGTTGTGCGACTTTTATCTTTGATTTCTTGCTGAGAAACGTATTGCAGGTGCACTTTTCAGAAACTACCTTAATTTCCAGCCATTTACCCGCAGGTAATCTGTTGATTTTGCCTTAAACACACGCCACTGTGGGTAATAGGGAGGTGCGAGTTATGTGACAATTTTGAAATCTACTGGCAGTTGAATTTCAGAAAATTCTCACCTACCTACGTTTCCACCTCTCAGATGAATTTTATTGTATTTAATAGTGCCACAAAGCGGCACTAAAACATGATGCTGACTCGAGTTTATTTCACGCACAATTAGTTGCGCGATGAACAAATTACTACTGGCACGCGTGTAAACAAAACCTTGATGGTGACAAAAATAGACCGAGGATAACCAGCGCATCAGTAACAAATTTCCAGTTAACACTAGCTTCAGCTGAAGAGAATTTTCCCATTTTGAGGGACTTGTTAGGCCCAGTACAATCAGAGATATCAATTTTTTTGAGAAATCAACATGGCGCCGAACGATCATTCACACAAAATGTGGCCACGAATTCACATTCTGTCAGGTATGCAACGTTGTGAGTTCTAGAGCACATTTGTACAAATTTCCTTTGTTTTTAAGGTGCAGGTTATCCATCAGTGCTGGTAATCTGTCGACTTTTTTTTTCGCTGCATGCGATAATCATCCGGTGCGGGTAATCAGCCGGTGCAGGTAATCAGCCATGCGAGTAAACAGCTGGAAATTACGGTACATCATGTAACACTTCTGAAATTTCTAGGAAATCTGTGTTTCTAATTTCGGGTTCTGGTAGAAGTAGGTTACTTTTGCAACTAAAATTTTTGAACTTGCTCCTAAATTTTAGGAATTACTCGCAAATTGCAATTGACAATTTTTTTCAATTTAAAACCTGCCTTATTAAATACACTAGATAGACATTTACCCACCTCCTTTAAGAAGAATACAAGTTAACAGTTTCTGATTCAAATGAATTATTCTGTATTTACCTCCTCCTTAACAGGCTTCTCTGTATAAGCATCCATGAGATCCACTTCCTTTGCTGAGAAGCGTTTCTCCATGTCCTTCAGACGCTTGTTCTGTTTTTTCTTTTTCATGTCTTTCACTGCGGCAAGATCACAGAAGGACGCAATATAAAACTTGTCTCTAGCATAAAATTACTGGACTGGGCAATCTGTATGGATTGCCCAAATTTCTTCTACATCGTTCAATGGAGCTAAAATTGACTAAGCACAAGACTGAATATAACCTGGCTCATTTTCACATAATGAATTCAATCAAGTTACTTCATTAACATACAGTCAAGGTCTTTCCAAGAAGCTTTATACGAACACTGCTTACTGTGGTATTGGTATCTGTATCAAGTGACCAAATTATGGTTTGATCTAAGTGATAACTTTTGCCTTGAAAATTCATTTTAAATATTTTAGACATTGAGTGAACTTTTCAGCCACATTTTCTGTGTTCTTGTTAGCATATAGAAGCCTTAAGATGTCTTGAACATTCAAACTGCTATGTAGGATTAACATATGGTGAAAGTCTTCAATTCCAATTATTTGTTCAAAGTATACCTATAGTACAGTACTTACATCAGACTAAAAATTTGTCAAAAAGCCTCTTGAAAATACATGGTGGGAATATACAAATACTGTTGACATGTCATTGAATGATGGCTTGTGCATGGATATTTAAAAAAAATTCATTGTTGTTTAAGGTAAGGTGCATTTAAAAATATCTATCTCCATGAAAGCTTACATGATTGCTCTCTGGGAAATAGCAATAAATATGTAAAGTAAGAAAACTACAACGTCCATGTAATTTGTCATTTGATTTTTTACTCCTGTTAAAGTACACGATGGTAAGACTAACAAAAAAGGCAAAATTGTTCTAGAAATCAACTACAAATACAAGCATAGTTGTTCTGATTGACCAAAAGAATTGGTCAACGAAGAAAAACTTGATTATCTGTAATTTGAACAAGTAAAAATCAAGACAAAACAATTATAAGACAGGAAGTGACATAACTTTGAAAAAGGGACCTCAGTTTGAGTACAGTCATTTCACAACACTGGAATGTAAGTCAAAAAACTAATCTTTTTGTAATTTTTTGGGCTTCACCACTTTCATAAGCTAAATTTTTGCATTATCAGTGAAAGACTCCTTGAATTATGACCACATGTAATATATTTGAGGCAGCATGAAGCTGTAACTCATCACCAAAAATTACATAAGCAATTCAGTCTCTATTTGCCTTACCTTTCCCTAAAATTATTTTGATGATAAGTTTAAGTTGGAAGTCTTAAAAGGCACAGCACATTTTAGTTGAGGAAATTCTTCTATATGGTTTCACTTTCTGTGATAAAAGATGTCAACATTCATGAGCAGATATGCCATTTGATAGTTGCATGACTTCATATGGAAATGATGTGTCTATTGTGAAATATTTGCCTCTTTGTAAAACGAATATACATTGACAAATCCATCAATTCAAACAAAGGAATGCAAGACTTGCCAAGCCAGTGAAGCAATCCTTAAGTTCAGCAGTATAAAATCAGTCAGTCTGAGTGAGAAAATTGATTGCTCAAAGTGTATTGCCCAATTTTGGATACCAAATACTTGGCATTCAACCATGTGTCATCCACAAATAGAATATGACCTCATGGGGTCAACATATTAGTAACAAATTCTTGCATTAATTAACTAACGAGAAACTAAGTTCTTCAAGACAATTAAAAAATTAATATTTAACTCTTAAAACTGCATGCAATCCCAAATCCAGCACTACACCCAGGACTCTTTCCAAAGCTTTGTGAGTGAGCAAAACCAAAACCATTCAATACTCCTTTCTCATATGAAAGGAATGCAAAAGATTAAATTCTCGAGGGGTGGGTCAATTTCAAGTTAAGCCTTTTACTGACATAATCTCTCAATATAAGCTGTAACCCCATTTGACAGTTCTTCATGCATTAGCTCGCAATTAAACAGCTAGGTCAGAAAAAAAAAAACTCCATAGTTCAAAGAAATAACTGGATGAAAGACAATTAACACTGTTTGGTATTTGATATGATCACAATATACTATTAAAAAGGGTTTAAAATAGTTTCATCATTATATCAATTCAGCTGCAGGGAAACCAAACAAAGTGGCTGTGATCCATTAAACTCAGAAAAATGAATTACAAAGGGCTGAGATCTTGAAACCTAGTGCATCTGCCTTTGTATTTGAAAACTTTTGGTTGAAAAGTAAAGTTCTTGTCATATTGTCTACTCATCGATAACACATTCTCATTAGTTAATATGTTCAGCAAACTTGGTGCAATTGATGGTGCTTTTCCTCTCAAATGACCTCTCAGATCAATTCCTAACTGTAGCAACTTTTTTATCTTTTTTCTTTTTCATTTTTTTCCCTCTTTCTTTTACCTTCTTCTTCAAAGGAATTTCCTTTTTCTATCATTCCATCAGCTTTTAAGAAACCAGCTACTGTAGCACTGTTTTTTTCTTTAAGTTAAGGTTTTATTTAATCCACAGTACAGTTCATTGACTTTGCTATTTTCAGAAGCTGAATATTCAAATTAGGGATCAACAAGGTTTTTAGAGGAAGGCAGAGTAATACTGACTGAATGAAATATTGCTAAGGGCTTATCCCCCTCAAATAGTATATTTATCAGAGTACCTCATATGCAAAAACCTTTTACATGGTGGGAGCGTTACCTTGAACTTTTTTAAGCCTCTTTTTGAAATCTCCCCTTTGACAAAGTGTTATTTAATCAAAATTTCTTGTATCTTAAACAAAACAAGATTTTTACTAAACACAATCACAAACAATTGAACCAGACTAGACTTTTAAAATCCTGAAAACAAAGGCTACAAACCTGCTCCTTGCACATCAGCAGAGTTCTTTGCAACACTTGCTGTTTTAGCTTCAGCCTCGTGCCCATTCGCCCTTTCCTCTACTTCCATACCCTCTGATTCTTGAGCTATTGGCATAACTTCTTCTGCAGAATCCTCCAGGGTTGGCTCAGCTTTAGGAGCTGGCTGACTGTCCTGATCAGCAGCGTTGCTGTCCACTGCAGGTTCTATGACATTCTCCACTGGTGGAACTTCAACCTCAACATTAGTGTCTACAGTGATGATCTCTTCCGTTTCTTCCGTTTCTTCCACTTCTTCACTAGAATGTACAACTGGTCCATTCAATGCCTTTCCCTCCTCTTCTGTAGCCACTTCAGGCTTTTTCACAACTTCCTCTTCAGGTTCAACAGCAGGTTTAACTTCACTAGTTGATGCATTGCTCTGTTGAATTTCTTTGTTGCGCAAATCCTCTGGTGTATAAATTTCTACTCTAACATTGGAGATTATCCCTTTTGTGGCTGTTATTGCATTGACTGAACTGACTAATGGAGTGTCTACTGAAATTCCTTCACCAAGTTTAGAGCCCTGAGCAGCTTCTTTGTGTTGCCTTGATTTGGATTCCTCCTCTTTTAACTGTGTTACTAAGTTCTTTTCTACTGGCTGTTCTGCCAATTTTGGTTCTGTTGCAGCAGTTATGTTTGCACTAATTTCTGTTTGCTTTGACAAATCATCTTTTGATGTATCGGCTACATCCTTTAATTTGGCAGCATCTATTGTTGACTTAGTATTCACCGATGGTTTCTGTATAATTACGTCTCCAGGTTTTTTGTTTTTATCAGTGTCACTGTTTAAAGTTGCAGCTACCTGCGCTGCAAACTGTGCTCGTAGATCTTGTTGCTGGGATGTTAGCGGAGGTGTGTTTGAACTACTAGACTGTCCTGACAAGTCTGGGGTGTTAGTTGATGTACCCCCAGTACTTCCAGATGCACTTCCTGATACAGTTCCTGATGTGTGACGATTAAGAATCTCCTGTGTCACATCTTTGTTACTATTTGGATCCTTTATTTGAATTATTTTCTTCTGCCGTGTACGTGACTCAACATTTTGATTAGGATTATACTGCTGCATTGGACTAATTGGAGCTGGGGCCCTAAGAATATACATAGGACCTTGTGGCTGTCCCACTGGATAACCTGTTTGTTGAGGAGTATAAACAAAAGGGGCAGGACCCTGGGAAGGGCCTGATACAGTAGTAAATGGTCCCGGCATGGGTTGCGGATGTCTGTACTGCATAGGAGGTGGACCAGGAATTTGCCCATAATCAAGCTGTAAAGAAAAAGACAGCAATGTACAAATATTCTACAAGCAGAAATAAAGCCATTACTTGTGTAGCTATTCACTGTAAATAGCAAAAGCAAAAGGCGAAGTGAATGTTCCCAAGTTCACAGAGGTTAACTTATCACTTTAGAGGCAAAACAAGACAAAAGACGTTTACATTACTGTGCTGCCATGCTGGTGCCTCTTGGATGGGCACCAACATGGCTTTCCTATACTGAGCTCTATAAATTTATGTCAGAAATCTTGGCAAATAAGTCATCAGTGGAAAACCCTACAGACCTGAAACTTGGGCAAATTATTTATTTCTCAAAATTCTGTGATAGCTTGCTCTCTTGGCATCAGGAATTCCACAGTTTCAATTTAAGATTTTGATTGCATAACAATGAGAACCACCAACACAATATACTTGTGACATGTGAACCTGCACATTCTATGTGTCAATTGGTAGGATATTTGACTGCAAAACAGGAACTAGTTGGAGATCAGATCACCATAGAGGAATCTATTTGCTACTTAAACCCATGGTTGTCACAAATTTTAAACACGTTCAATTTACTTATTCTAACTGCCTGGCACCAGAACCTCTGAGTCACAAACAAACTCATATTAGTATCTGTCATAAAGCAGGGCTCGAAATTAAAAAAATTCCAAGTCGCCTTTTGGCGACTATCAGAGAAAAAATGGTCGCCAAGTGCAAAAATGCAGTCGCCAGATAGTAAAAGAACAGAAATCAGATTAGAGCCTTATTCAATTGGCATTGTTGTTCGGCTTCTGGTGGATTGTGGCTGCGATTGTGGGGTAGACCAAAATACTCGATCTTGAATGACTTAAAACATGAAAACACAAAAGAAGAAACTCTGAAAGACTTTTGCATGACAATCTTACCTTAAGCAGTAAGCGAAAAAAGTAATAAGAACATTTCAGGGCTACTTTAGCAAGGAAAATATGTCACATCGCACCCCG